GGCGCCTGGGGTGGGCGCCCTAACCCCGCGTGTTCCCCAGGCACCCGCGTGTACAGCCCTCCGGAGTGGATCCGCTACCACCGCTACCACGGGCGCTCGGCCACCGTCTGGTCCCTGGGGGTGCTGCTCTACGACATGGTGTGCGGGGACATCCCCTTCGAGCAGGACGAGGAGATCCTGCGGGGCCGCCTCTTCTTCCGCAGGAGGGTCTCCCCAGGTGTGTGGGGGGTCTGGGGGGGGGCGGCAGGGGCGACAGACCGGGAGCTGGCCCCTGGCTGACCCCCCTCCTCCCCACAGAGTGCCAGCAGCTCATCCAGTGGTGCCTGTCCCTGCGGCCCTCGGAGCGGCCCTCGCTGGACCAGATCTCCGCGCACCCCTGGATGCTGATGGCCGCAGCCAGCACCACCTCCAGCAGCGAGAGCTTGTGAGGAGGGACTGCGCCCGGCCTGTGGGGGCAAAGGGACCACCGCCCCGCCCCGCCCTGTAGGGCTTGTCCTCCTGGGCTGTCTGCTGGAGACAGCAGTGACCTCTGACCCCTGGTGACCTTGACCTTTGGCACTGGGCCGTTTCCTTTGCTTTGAGTGCCTTTTCGAACGCTGCTCTCCCGGGGCTGGTTTCTGAGCTGTCTGTCCAAAGACTCTGGTGGAGGCGGCCGTCTCCCTGCCCTGTGCTTCCGGGAGGGCCCGCCCCGCACCTCCCACCTCCCACCTGACCACCTGGGCCGGGAGCGCTCGTGTCCGTGGCTTCGTCTCACCGGGCACAGGGTCCTCGTGCCCACCTCCCGCCCCCGCCCCCTCGGTGTTCCTGCGGGCACGTCTGTGCACAAGCAATGCAATGTGCAGGCCTCTGCCGCCCACACGGCGCCCCCTGTCTGTGGCTGGCAAGCCTGCGAACGTCTATTTATGGTGACCCCGGGAGGGCTATTTATTGTTTAACTTATTTGTTGGGGTCCTCCTCAGCCCCCCACTCTGCTGGGCCCCTGGGGCGCGGTGGCTGTGTGTGGACCCAGTCGGACCCACCTGCCTCTGTCGAGGATGGGCTTGTACAGTGGCTATTTAAGGGGAGGGGTGGCCGCCACTTGGGGCTCTGCACCCTGGGAGTGGGTTTTAAATTATTGACCTTGTACAGTCTGCTTGTTGGCTCTGGAATCTGGGGGGTGGGGGGGGTGGGGAACGACACAGAGTCTCAAGCCTTTAATTTATTTTAGTAGCTGTTTCTGTGGTCCTGGTGCACCCGCATCAGGACGGGGTTCTTTCAGTTTAAAAGCAAGATGTCTGGAAATCATATTTTTTATACAAGCATTTCAATTAAATTGTTTTGTATATAACGGTGTCCTGTGTTTGCTGGGCGGGGGGTTGGGTGGTGAAGGGGCCTCTGGGAAAGTAGCCGACCCTGTTCCTGCCCCGGGGGCACCTGAGGGGTGGCATTGCCAGGCGGAGCGGTCAGGCCTGTGGGAGGGGCAGGGGGCCAGGCAGGCCGGGGTGGGGTGAAGTAACCACCGGTCAGAGGCCATGGTAGGGGTTGGCCCAAGAACCTCTGGCTCCTTCCGCAGGAGGTCCAGTCTGGTGGGAAGAGGGAAGGCCCTCGCCCAGGCCACGCAGGCAGAGCGAGGGGAGGGGATCATCCTGCCCCCGGCCTGGAAGGGCTCTGAAGGACGAACAGAAGTCTGCCAGGCGGACGGGCGGCAAGGCCTAAGTGCAGAGAGCCGGTGAGTGGGCGGAGTGAGGGTGGGTTGGGCCCTGGCTCGCAGGTGTAGGTGGGAGCCACGCCGGGTCCGGCCAGGCCTAGTGTGAAGGGCTGGCTGGGTAGAGGGTCTGGGTGTGCCCTGCCCCCGCCGCCCCTGGGAGATCCCCATGCCAGGGCTGCCCCTGTGTTTGCTCCCGAAGTCGGACTGGACGGAGGAGGGTCCGGAGGCTGCACGCGAGAGCAGGGCAGGGAGTTTGGAGAAGAAAAGCAGGCAGGCAAGGCCGGGGTGCGGCTCCTGGCATGGTCTTGGGGAGCCTGGTGCGCCCTCGTGACGAGCCACTGCTGGGCCCAGGAATTCCCGGCAGATGCTGGGGAGCTGAGTGGATGGAGGGGAGACTGTGCGCCCGTTCCCACGGCCCAGCCTGGCCAGTCTGCTGCTGGGTGTGCACCCAGGACTCTGGGCTCCTCTCCTGGCTCACCTGCTGCTCCCAGGAGTGGGGGTGCCCAGAGATGGCTGAGGGCAGCAGTGGTGCAGCCTTTGGGCCCCACCACGTGGTGACAGCCACCCACACGTCACCAGGATCCTGGTTCCCCACTTGCCAGCCAAGGGTGCTGGGCTGGTCCCGGGCACCCACCATGCACCCACCTCCCTGTCCTCCACAGTCCACGATCCATCTGTCCATCCGTCCGTCCGCCCACTGCACATCTAATAACCAACCACTCGCTGAGGTCGACCTGTGGGGGATCCTGAGTCAGGCCCTGGGACGGCCAAGCACCCCCCTCTTAGTCATCAAGAGCCTGGTGGGAGGCTGGCCTGGCACAGAGGGCGTCGCATCCCGGAGGTACAGTCAGGCGGGCACAGCCCAGTGCAAAGCCCTGAGCCCTGGCTGGCCGAGGGCTCTGTCCTGAGTTTTTCCCGCATCTGTCAGGGGAAGCCCACCTGAGAGCCGCCCCTCACACGGGCACGGAGACCGAGCGGCTTGTCTGAGGCCAGCAGCTCTCACCACAGGCCTCAGGGGCCGGAGGACAGCATGTGCCCGTCTGACCCAAAGCAGGGGGCTCTGCCGGGGAGCTTGGGAGTCACTGGCCCCTGGGCTCTGCCAGGCCGCCCCAGGCTCCTTGGCCTGGGGACCCCGCAGTGCACCTGTGCGGGGGGCCGGCACTGGCTGCTCTGGCTGTGGATGGACAGGCCTGGGTGACCACTGACGGGTCCGAGAGATGCAGAAGCTGAGGCCATGGGTGACACCTCCTCTCCGGCCTGGGGGTTGCAAGCCCCCCGGTTCTGATGGGAGTGACAGGTGAGCAGGGAGGGGGTTCGCTGGAGGTGGGAGGAGGCCAGGCCTGGGTGTGTCAGAGCCGGAGGGTGGGCCCAGGTCCAGCAGGGGCTCTGGGAGGCCAGAACCTACTCCCCGTGGGGATTCTGCTGGACAGAGCCAGCCCCCCCACCCCCCAGGCAGAGGGAGGAGATGGAGGGGGGACGCTGGGGGAGTAGCTTTCTCCACCGGGCCCACACCCGCCTCCACTGACTGCCCC